TCCCCCTTACAAAGTATCCCCCTCTTATAGTATCCCCCTCTTCACATAGTATCCTCCCGGGTACTATTCAAGTTAGTCTGGGATTTCTTGAATAAGACCGGGGGTACTGTAGTAAGCGCTATACGGTAATACTATTGAATAATATTTATTTATATCTTATTGGACACTAGCTAAAAGAGATCTTATTTATTAATATTAGATAGTAGAACAAGCAATATGATCATAGCAAAGTTAGCAAAATGATCTGAGCTAAACTAATAATTAGATTCTGGCTAAACTAGTAATCTAATCATGAAAAAAATAACAATATAATATTAGCAAAGTAAGCAATTAAATCTTAGTAAAAATAGTTTTTGTAAAATCATCAAATATTATAAAAGCAATATAACTTAGCTAGTAATGTGAAAAATAAGTTTGAATACTTTGATAAAATCTAATAGTTTTATAAATCTCTTGTTAAAATAACTTGTTAAAGTTATATTTGATATTAATTTTGATTTTAATCTTGAAAGATAAATCATTATTAAATAATTAATTATTATAATTAACTTGAAAGACAGTCACTTGGAAGACTTATCATCTTGAATTATTATCTTTAAATTATAAAGAAACTTAGTAAAGTTTAGTGAAATTATTGTATGTTATTCTAACTTGTTACAATAAGAACATATATTATTTATCTTTAATAATAATTTTCAGTCTCTCTCATCATAAAATTTAGTCTTTTTCATCTTTAGTTAGTAGAAACACATGATTAACATGTCAAAACTTAAAGCATATAAAAATGGTAACAATATATTTTGATTAATACCAGGAAGAAATAGTGCTTTATAATAATTATTAGTTAAAAAGCTAATAGAATTAAGAGATTTTGCAAGTTTTTGATTAATTTAATTTTTATAAAAAAATATTAGTTATCTTTTCTTGTAAATATCCATGCTAATATCAAATGTCTGCAGTCAGGATTTGCATATCACATTGATATATTAAACCTTTATCATAGTGATATTAAATCCTTAATTCTGTAATTTTACTCTTAATTTCCACATGAATATCTTTCCATAATTAGTTTCTTGTGTAATTCGTATTGTAAGCTAAATTTAGAAATATTTCGTTATGAATAAACATTACCTTTTTTCTTGTGTCATGAACATCCCATCGTTCTTCAATATTATGCACGTAACGATAGTGATTATCTAGAGGACAACAACAATGAAAGACATCGAACGATTATTGTTTAATTGCTTTGAAATTTTAAGAGAAATGATCAATGTAAAATACTAACTTTAGAATTAGCGTAGTAATTCGAAATTGTACAAAAAGAAGCATTCTCGAGTCTTTGAGAAGACATCATGTTTTTGATCTAATAAAATAACAAAGTTCTTACTTGTAATAATAATACTTGTGAATACACTATTATTTTGTTTTGTTTCGTGATCAAAACTTCAAACTTTGTGAGTAATTGCAAGTAGTGGACGCTTCTCCACTCTAAATAAGCCGTCGATTTCTTATTTTGGACAGGTCGTGTCTGTTGAATTGTCTTTTAGTATTGAGTTTTTCTTGGACAGGCCGTATCAATAAGTCCTATCACGTTTGTGAATATATTGATCATTGTTGAATAAACAAGATTTTATTTTAACGTTGAATAAACTAGATTTTATTATAACGATTTGACTCATATTACAAGAGTGATTCTATTCTATCTACTCTTTCAAACACCCCCTCCCCCTTATTGTTGAGAAAAGGTCGATTTGCGTACAAGTCGTCACGGGAAACCTTTAGAACACCCAAAGAAACCCTTTGATCGTAAATAATTTAGTCTAGCTCTCATCCCCGTTGCGAAAACCCCTCTTTAGTGAATCATTATAGTAAGACGCAATAATATAACGAAGCATTAATAAAAGAAGAAACGGTTATAGTACATCCACCTCGATAAACCGAATTTTTTATTAATAGTCCGACGACCACTTCGTTATATCGAGTTTGACTGAACTAACAACCAACGCTTTTCTCTTGATAAGAAAGAATTCGAGAAACCCAAAGGAAAAATATATAAGAATTAACTTATGTATATTCTGAAACAGCTATATAAAACTTAACCAAATTTGTAACAAGACAAAATACACAATTGCTCAAATCTCGATGATATCGATTTACCGTTACTATGAAAACCAATATTCAATTTCATTGGCTAAAATTGATAAGCAATTACTACATAAGGGTAATGCATGTCTATGTTTGGAAATTGATATGCATTATTAGCCAATGAAGATGAAGATTGGTTTACATAGTAAATTCATTATAATCAATTTTCCCACATGTATTATTATTGTTCATCAATTTCCCACAATGTGAAAAAGGAGCGCGCGTTCATTAAAATTTTCCCAGAAGATAATTTACTTATAAAAAGCACCTGTTCTTCTTTCAGCAATATAACTTTTATCCATATAAACTATTAATCCCACACGAAGAAAAAATGTCGCGACTAACAAAAAAACTCCACTGTGTCGCTGATTTCTGTGTTATTCCTATCGGCGTAGGACCTAGTCTTTCAAAGGTATCGACCAAATATTTTTCATAGATTTGGCTAACGTGGAGTATGTTACGAACAATTTTTCATATGTTAGTACATTGTCGAAACCCAAAAAATCTTGAATGAAGCTGGGTAAGTAAATAATTTTGATTCGATGCATAATATTGAAGTAGCGTTAACATTTTTTTATAGATTAACTCATAAGCTTCACGCGAAGGGAACCAATATTGGTATATTTTCATCTTTTATTATCTTTTTAATATGGATATTGCAAATAATTTAACAATCAAATGACGCGATACAGAGGGCGATTGGAGTGAAGTGATGGAGGCAATTCGCAAATGTAATGTTCGCTTACACGAACTCGGCGTTCCTCGAATTAATACCACTATTCATGTCGGGGTAACGAATATATTAATAACTTGGTGGTTTCACGTATTTTTTATTTTAGTTACTAATTATGTAATCTGACGATACTAATAACTAGACGCGTACTGATAAGGAAGACTCTATCGAAGCCATGTAATATAATTGATATTCGAATCGCGTTTAATTAAACGGGGGGTTAATTGTTAATTATTTTTCCCTTACCTTTTTCTTTTAGTATTCGATCTACCGAGAAAAGACTTCAAGCTTCCTTGTAATATATATAGTTGGCAGGCTTCCTTTTGTTAATTTGTAATTTTTTCGTGAAAAGTTTAGTTTACGTTTCTTGTATTAAATCGATACTTTTTTTCATATTCATCAATCGGAGAACTTGCTGATATTCAGTGTCAATTTCTTATCCAACCACAAATTGCTGTTTTTTATATGCTTAAGCGAACGCGTAACTTAACAAATAGTAAGTTAACGATGCCACTTTAATAAAGAAATGAATATTTATTATAAAATATAGCCAAATTATGAATAATGAAGTCATATAAACAGTTCACGACGTTTATCTTTTTTGATTCAATGCTAGAAGAGCCCTAGAAGAAAGATACGAAGGAGGAGACACGTTAAACACGTTAATTAAATTTTTTTAAGGAAACAAAAATACAAACTACGTACTCCAAAGTTAATCGTTCTTTGAGTGCAATCTCTTGGCGTTCTCTCTCGATCTCTTCGAATTTGGAAATAGTACTATCGATAATATAATGACGGCGTAAGACAACTATGAATGAACTCGATAGAGGGTAATAATGTCGGTGACTTACTTTGCCATATAAAAAGCCTCAAGAGTCGCGACTGCGTCCTGCTCTGCCTTTTTAGCACGATCGACGCATGTCTCTTGGGTTATGACAGTCTTTTTCTTTGGAGAGTACGAATTCTTTGTTGTTAAATTCGCGTTATCGTAATGTTTGCTGTGTTAGAGTAAATAAAAATAATAACAAATTATTAACCTAATAAAAAAATAAATAAAATGAAGAATACATACATTATTCGTTCGACTATCGTGTTTTTATTACCGTAAGAGGCAACGCCGAGTTTTCGCGCAATTTCTGCATCAAAAAAAAAACAAATGAAAAAAAATTCAAAAAAATTTGGTAAAAGACAAAGAAAGTAACTAACCAATGATTTCAGATTTTTTCTTATTGATTAATTCCAAAAACGAGTATCTTCTTACGTTGATGTTGATATTGTTAAGATTATTTCTCTTGGTGGTGGATATTTTCGTCATTACGTCTAGCTAACTGGTTAGAGGTCGTTTTACTTGTGCGTATTATTTCCTTTGAGATATACTACCCATAGTATTTATTATTTAACTTTTTTTTCTCTTCCAAATACGTTTATTGTATGCTAATTTTTTTTATGTGTCATAAAAAAAAGGTGATAGGCAACAGAACGGTACAAAAAGAAACTTACCAAGATGAAAAAATTTCGAATCAAATATAAATATTATTCGAGTTTAGTGGGAAGTAAGAATGATGATAACAATAAGCAATCAAATCAATATTTTTTGGGTTTGGTCATTAAAGGAAAAAAATTAACGACTGTTATTGTTGTTGGTGATGAAAAACGAAAAAAATGAGATTTTATCCATTCCAATACTATCAATGATTGGCTATATTTACTGATGATTCATACGATTTTTGGACGAGTAACAGGGACAATTTTTTACCAGTGGTTGTCATGTGATTACAAGTCTTGGGGATTATGATTTCTTTGAATAAAAAGTCCTCACCAACACATTCTTGCAGAAAACAGAAATTTGCATTGCTGTTTTTATGCCAAAGTGAGCTCTTCAGTAAACAAGATTGATGTTTTTTATTATTAGGATTCGTTGATTTAATCGCGTTTTTTAAAATATGCTAGTTACATTCGTCATAAATTGTCGGAAAAAAACATTTAATAAAAATTACAACACAAACTTTATATAGGTAAGCTGCTGTTTACTAAATAAATAAATTTTTTAATTTATAAACTTCGATGGCTAACGCTAACGCTAAGTTAAAACAATGATGTTTAATTAAAAAAAAGTAACAAATCCATTCAAGCTTTCAATTTAAATTATCACCTTTCAACGTTAAGCAAAAAAATATTGATTAAAAAGATGGATGTTCCGTAAATTATTTGCTGTTTTGTATTAGACTACGACCTGGTTTTGCGTTGATTTCGTTGCTTGAATTGTAAAGTTTTTAAAGTTTTTTTTTTCTATTCAGTCTTGCTTATAATTTAATCAGAAAGTATTAATTTTTATAAAAAACGATACAGCGCATTTTCTAGTTTCATGTCGCATTGATTTCTTATCGTTATATGCAAATAAGTGTTTTAACAATATAAAATTTTATTCTATCATTCTATATGGATTGTTCTTGCTGGCATGTTTTATGAATTTTACAGTCCCTACAGAAAGTAAGGGTGGTTAGTTTTTTTAAAGAAAGGAGCAATTCTTAATGAACAACCACGCAAACATTTTCCATGTCAAAGCAGGTTTGAATGCCGTTTGACATGTTAAGAACTATCGCTGGTAATGTTATTTCAATCTTGTTCTTCACGATTTTTATTTGTAAAGTAATATATATATAGATCTAATACAGTTCTTTTAAGCCGGACATTTTTTCTTAATGGGTGAAGATCCGTCGACTTGGTAAAATTTCGCGTGATCCTGAGTCAAACTGCCAAATCGAGATATGTACTATCGTGAACTCCAAAAATCTGAATTAGGCATTGATTAACAACATACGTAGATTTTTAATAAAAAAGTGAAAAAGATGGTTTTTTAGAATATTGCAGCTATAATAATAGTAATTAGATGAATAAAAGTAGAAAACTTGAAATTTAATTCCTATTAATACTAAGAAATAGGTTAATATGTAATATTAACGTGTTATAATAAGAGCGAAAATTTGATTTTCTACCATTTTACTAAGAAACACATAAGTGTAACTACACATTATGCATTTTGTTAATCCTTGATGAATACACTAAAAACGACATGTCCTATGACCGCTATGGCTGGAGATAGATTTCGGGATAGAAATGTCGTGTATTTTTTCACGCCAACTTTTTTTAAAAGGACTAATTACGTATCTGATAAAAATCGTTCCATTATTTCCGCAGAGACTGTAAATTTACGAATACTAACGCTACATGGTTTAGACTAGAATGCGCCGGCTCAGTTAAGCTGGTGCAAGTCGATCCCTAATTTCATTATAATGCACTCCTGCATTCTGTGTACATGTACCAGGTTATGCCGATCATGATTTCATGTACCGTAATTTGCCATTTAGAATATCCCCCTATAATATTATATCCCCCATGAATTTAATTCTGGTCAAATATTGGCTAATTCTGGCTGAAACTATCATTTGCATATAGAATATCCCCCATATAATATACCCTCGTGCCGTACAGTATACTCCCCCGGATACAAATCGGATTTTGGCTGGTGGAATGTAACATACCCCGGGTATTCTAAACGGTAAATTACGGTACATGTAATCAGGGTGGCGCAAAACAATAAGGAAGCGTAAATTTTTTGATCAACCCGGCAAAACAAATCCGGCAGAAGAAATAAAAAGCAAAAATTACGGAAAATGGATGTTCAAATCTAACTTTAAGTACTAATAAAAAAAAAATGTTTGGGGGTTTTACTCCCGCTCAATCCCAACCCTAACTTGTAATATCCATAAATGTATTTGTCATGTGTTTTGTATTACAGTACTGAATCACGTGGTCTTTGACACAAGAAAATAAAAAATGTAAAAAATGTGGAAAATAGATGTCAAAATCTAGCTTGAAGTACTAATAAAGATTGTCGGAAAAGCAATTTTACATATAATCTTATCCTCAACTCTAACCCTAATCCTAATCCAAACGATAAAATTATTTTTAACGTGATCACGTGAGCGTGGATTTTGAAGGCCACACTGTCCGCACAAAAAAAGGGTCGGTTATTAATTTAAAGGTTAGAATTTAGGATTGGGACTAGAGCTATAGGTAAAATTGCCTTTCCGACACTTTTTTTTAGTGTACTAAGCTAGATTTAGGCATCTGTTTCCCATATTTTTTACATCTTTTGCTTTTTTCATTTTCTTGTGTTGGATTTGTTTTGCCGGGCTGATTAAAAATTTACAGAATGCAGGAGTGCACATCTGTTTTACATTTGTTTTCCAGTAAGAGTCAAAATTAAAGTTCATTAATAGTATAAGGATAACATATTGATACGTACTTTTAATAGATTCCAGTGGCTTCCAGTAACAACACTGTGGCCGGGCTGATCAAAAATTTGCACATTCTGTGCCACTGGCAAATAAAACATTTATGCCACCAAGCTGGCACACAGGATGCTATAATGATTTTCTCGATTTTCTTGATTGCGCTGCGTATAATAAAAAACTTCATATGTTAATTCTTTTTTTGTCTTAATATCCAAAGACATTTAGTTTATTTTTTTGCGTTAACTTTTTTAATTTTACAAAGTTGTAGCGTAATTTCTTTACCTTAATTTACTTGGATTTAGAAAAAAATCACTGTTGATTTCCTATTGTTCAATCTCCATATAGCAATAACTCATTATACGCAGTTTCGGGTAACCCAATTCTTGCAACGAACATGTACATGTATCATGTATTATTTTGCGTTTTGCTTGTGTATCCGCAGTGAACACAATGATCAACCAGAGAAATAAAAAAATGTATAAATATGATGATATTTTGACAAGCTCAGAAAATTAGAAAGTTAATAAGTTAATAAACACAAAAGATCCATTGAAGAAGCTAAATACTCTATTAGCATACAACTAAAAAAAAAAAGCTAAATACTCTCTATTAAACACATAACTAAATTAATTACGCGCGTTTTCAAAAATGACTGAATACACCGAGATGTTCGCACCATTAGTTGCGCTATTCAACCAAGCCCAAGTCACAGCAATACTAATGGCATGGCTACCGAAACAACTGGAAAACTATTTATCAGGTGTGATGGCTGTCGATATGTTTCTCACGTGTGCCGTAGCAACAGGAGCGACAGCATCCTTGGGCGCTCTGTACGTTTTCATACATAAAAAATGGTCAGAGACACCAACGAGCAAGGAAGGAGTCGTCGTTTTACAAGTAGAACCTACATCAGCTGGCCGATGGGGATATCAATATCCGTCGCAGTTCTATGAAGCATTATCGTGGATGATTAGCCAGCAAACGAAAGAACTTAATGAAGGTGCATTCATATTACAAAAACCGTCGAACGACGGTTATCAAGATGATGATGAAGAGGATGATTGCGCACCCCAAGAATTCAATATTCTTCCCGAGAAAGAACAAAAAGTTGTAATCGAATATAAGGAAAGAAAATTCGACGTCACTTTTAATTCTTTTGACGATGATTCCAGCGAGTCGACTAGTCGTAAGAAACAAAAGCCGTCAATTTTTTTGACTACTAAAGAAGAGTCCGATACTAATGTCGCTTCAGTGGCGGATTTTATTAATGGTGTGACGCGTGCTCATTTGGAATACTTAAAATCGAAAAAAGTTCGATCAAGATACGAGAGAAATGGCGATAGTTGGAATTTGATTCAAGCTTTGGTCGGTAGTCGTGGATTGGATACAGTCGCATTGGATGAACCACAAGAAATTCTCATTAAAAAAGAATTGGAAACTTTCACTAACGACAAAGAATTTTATGCTCGTATTGGTATTCCATATCGTCGTGGTATTCTACTATATGGAAAACCAGGCACAGGAAAAACCTCTTTAATAAATGCGATTTCCGCACAATTACAACGAGATCTTTACTTTATCAATCTGAAAAGCTTTCAAAAAGAAAATCCTGATAGTGAATTAAGTGCCGCATTCAGTTCTGTACCCGCGAATCAGATTATCGTTCTCGAAGATGTCGATACACAATCAAATGTACTACACAAACGGTCACTTCAAAAAAGTGATTTCTTTGATGCAATGTCCTCCGACGACGACAAACCAATTGTCTCGTCGGGATTCGGACCTACTTTCAGCTTATCAACATTTTTGGGATGTTTGGATGGTCACATAATTTCCGAAGGAATCATCATAATCATGACCACGAATCACGTTGAACATCTCGATCCGGCGGTAATTCGTCCCGGTAGAATGGATTTGCAATTGGATCTTGGCTACTGTACACATTATCAAATAAAGAAAATGTTTGCAAGTGTCACCGAGAATCCCGAGCTACAATTTCCGCAAGAAATTTTGGACAAGATTCCTGAAGGGCTTTTACCTCCCTGTCAAGTTATGACAAACATGGTGTTGTATCGTAATGAGCCACACCTGATTCCGGACAAGATTTTGGAATTAGTTGATAAAGTGAAGCAAGACGAAGAAAAGCGAGAAATGGAACGTATTCAGCAGCAAATTGAAAAGAAATTCAAACGAACCGAGAAAGTCGAAGGAGAAGCAAAGAGTGAAACTGAAGAAAATAAAGAATCAATTTCAGAAAAGAAGGAAAATGAAGAAGCAAAGATTGAAACCAAAGAAAATGAAACAATTTCAGAAAAGAAGGAAAATGAAGAAGCAAAGATTGAAACCAAAGAAAATGAAACAATTTCAGAAAATAGTAATGGTAACGATATCGACACAGACGAAAAGAAAGAAAGTGAAGAGAAAGAAAAGGATCTGACTAAAGGAGAAAAAATAAATGCCACGAACTTTAAAGATGATCTAATCAATTTCGAAGAATCGATAATTGATAAAACGCCTAACGATGATACAATATCGAATGGTAGTTGTACCGATGTTGAGGAAGAGTCAAAATCCACAACGTTATCATCGTTAAAACAAATAACAGAAAGCAAAATAATAGAAAACAAATCAACTTGGGAAGCTGTTGGTTGAGATTAAACAATTATTTTTATTTTATTGTATTTGAACATTAGCATAGACTGTACTGTTTATTAAACGTTTCTCAATATTTGAATAAACATTTAACATTGAAGCACTATTGATTTGCTTAAAGAAAACACGTTGCTATGTGCAAGTAAACTTGATAGGCCGAAGTCCTATAAACTAAGTAAAAACTCGATAACCGAAGTTCAAATTTGAAAGTTATAGTAACCTCGGCTTACAAAACAGTAAACTTGATAAAACGAATCTTTCAAAAATTCACCAGACCTATTCGGTTTATCGAGTTTCGCTTGTATAAAGAATCGAAATCTATAAAATACAAGAATTCTAGCATTGCAATCCGAGTTTTTTCTTTACCGCTTTAGACTACACTAGTAACTCAAATCAACTTTATATGCAAGATCGATTTATTAAATCTATTCCAAGAGGAAAGAGCATGCGTCATATTCTTGAAAGCTGAAAAGTATATACTGTTGCGTCAACCCTAAAACTATCTGAATTAAAGTGGTTTTTCGCAACGTAAATACGAGCGAGACTGAATAATTTACGAGAAAGAAGAGTTCTTTAACGTTCTGTTGCAATTTGTACGCAAATTGACCTTTTAGGGATAGGGGCGTTTCAACAATAAAGTATTCTTTTTAAAGGAAATAATTTATTCAGCAATAACCAAAATAATCTAAACACAACAGGACTTATTGGCACGGCCTAATCAAAGAGAAAAACTCGATATCAATTCAACAAAATCAACGGCTTATTTAGAGTAGAGGAGCATCCACCTCTTGCTACTTTGCTCGCAAGATTTGATGATGACCAAAAATAATAAAATAATAGTGCATTCACGAATAATATTATTACTACAGGTAAGAACTTTGTTATTTTATTCGATCAAAGCATGTCTTCTCAGAGACTCAAAAACACTTATATATATACAGTTTCGAATGCTAATTCTAAGGTTAGTATTTTACATTGATCGTTTCTCTTGAGGTTTTCTAAAAACAATTAATAATAATCGTTCGATGTCTTCCAATTGTCTAGATCGTCGTTCTCTAAATAATCAATATCGATCGTGCAATAGCATTAAAGAACGATGTGAATGTTTATGACACAAGCAAGAGAAAAAAAGGTACAGTGCATACAAGCTAAAGATAGCAAAGAATTTCAATCTACTACCACTTTTTTTCAAACAATTTTTTCACCAAAAACTCAGCATTATTTGATAAAGACTTGAATGAATATAATAATGATTAGTTTTTCTTTAAATTTAAAGTTATAAGTATTAAAATTTATTAATTGCTATTAGTAAATGGAACAATATTGAAACATCACATGATAACTAATCATATTCTAATTGGTTGTAAACATTATCATGTATAGTTTGTTATATAAAATACTGTAATTTTATTGATTCTTAACTTTGAACTATAAAATTCTATAATTTTATTGGTTCTGATTCCAAAATTATAAGCTCAGATATATATTTAAAATTAATAATTGGAACTGGATTGGATATACAGAGACCTCCCAGAATATTGTGGACACTTTTTAAAATATAATAACGCAAAAACTAATAAAAAAGCAAGATTTATGATTCTAAGCTAATAGAATCATTGAAACATATTGTATATTGT